TCCAGCTCTATTTCCCATTGTTAAATACATATAAGTATATATTGTAGAATATTCAGTACAAAATATGCCCGATTAGTAACTTCACTGTAATTCTTAAACCTAAACTTGAAACTAAGTAGGCAATAATCAGTCATCATACAAACAAGTAGCTTCAGAAGTCTTCTTAAACACACTGCTCTTTATACCTGGTATAAATGCGGTCTTTTTGGTTTTATTCTCTTTTTTTTCCTCCATCCTTCAATTTTTATCATATCTATTCAAAGTCAATGAAGAAATAAAAACTTGCCTAAACTTTATTAATAGTATTAGCAATGGGCCCAGTTACAGAAGATAACTCAAAGACTTTGAGTTGAATCCTCCTCTGATATGTGGAGCCATTTACTACCCAAGCAATGGTTCATCCGACTGAAGAGCTATATATTAAATATATACATATCAACTGAGAACATTTGTAAAAACTCTTCTGTCTTAGGCACAGGCAAGCTTTTTTTCAACAATGGCTTGCTGATTTTTAACTTGCAATGTTTCAATAATTTCACTTACAACCATTGCAGGAAAGCTTAATTTTTGCATGTCTGCTTATGTGGGAGTCACACTCCCACACATCCAAGCACACTTACCTTGGCACAGTTTGTACACTCTGCCTCAAATATTAGAAATTGCAGTATTGGGTGCATCGCCATGAACTCATTGTGATGAGGCAGTATTACCAATTTCTTATGAGTTCAAGCATGCATTATTATGCTTATTATTATTGCTTTGGAGGCAACTGCTTGTGGCATAATTTCTTGTAAACAACTCATTTGCATTTAAAGCAATTCCTTAGGAAAAGGCACCTCACAGGTCTCAAAATACCTCTCAGAGATCATTCATCAATATTCACCAATATCTCTGAGATTCACAAAATACAATGCTGTTCAGAAAGTCAAATGTTGTTCCTTTAAAAAAAGACAAAAACCCCAAACCGAACCAAAAAACACCACCACCGAAAACCTCTTAAGCATTCTCATCTGCTAGCCTGCACAGAAAAGATTAAAACTTGGACTCCAAGACATTACACTTTATTCTGCCAAGATGCCGAGTAGCAAAGCCATTATGCTACTCTTCCTATATTAAAAACTGGATGGGAAGTCCACCTTTTTAGTTCTTTTTTCCACTCAGTTCTCTGACAGATTTTTAGGCATCCTGCTTCCTCCCCTGTAGTAAACAACATTTATTAACATCTCCCATCCCACACATACCAGTGCTTTGGACTCTCTCTCCTTTCTAAAGCCGTTTCTCATCTCTATTGAATGACAAGTATGACCCATGCCAGACTCCCGCTTTCAAATACACTTACAGCATGTGACTTATGAAAATTCAGTTGAGACTTTTCACAATTTACATACAAACAAATACTTAAAAGTCAGGACCTGAAAAATCACAGGCTAGGACTGAATATAATATTTTACATGTTTATAGTCTACCTTACTATAATTTGTGCATTTAATCAAAAACCTGAGGTGTAAACTTTTTACAAAGTACGAAAAAGTTGCATTCATATAGCATATAACGGGCAAATTTGGAAACATTTCATTTTGGCTTTGCTGAAAAAAATTAAGATCAAATCCAAAGGAAAATAAAATCCACTGAAACTCCATTTGAACCACAGTCACAAAAGACTTTGCTACTGCTCTCTCATAGACACGGAGTATAAAGTCCACAGAAACACATAAAGGCCAATGGCAGCCTACAATCTAATTAGCCCTTATTATAATACCATCCAGAGATTCAACAGATACTTCATTAGAAAGGACACAGGCACAAAGAACCCACCCATAAAGGAGTTGCATTTCCTTTCAAAGGTCTAGAAATGCATAATAAAGAAGAGTCTTTGACTAGGAAGAAGCTCGGCTGAGCCTGGCATGTTCGTTAGCCTGCCTTGAGATTTTCTTGACCGAAAGAAAAAAAATGGGAAACAAGACCATTTCTATATCGTTTCATTTAGATTTTCACCTTGGCTTACGTGCAAGTTTTTCTTTGTACGAGGTTACTTTTTTCTGTAGGCTTTGCTGAGAGTTCTATGAACGGGTGGAGAGTAGAAACGAAGAGCATTCAAATGGGGCTCCAAAAGGCCTGGGTAGTTTTTCTGTAAGTTTTGAGGATGCTGTAACACTGGAGGATGCTCAAATGCACGTGACTAAAAGGCAAACCGAGAATGGCAGTTACCAAGTTATGTCCAGTGAGCATTAATGTCTGAGATGCCGTATTAGTGACACAGAGGTGACCCAAGGAGTGAGATCTTGTACATCATAGGAGGAGGTGCAGTTAGAGAAGTAGGGGACAGATTGCCTAAGGCTTAGGCAGCCCCAAACTCTTCCTGTCAGAGGCTGATCACAAAACACAAGGATGTGCATGGGTGCATAATCAGTCACGCTGTGGAGCTCCACATGGAGTAACTTGCCTTTGAGAGCTTACAAAGCTCAAGTCCAGCGAGACTTGCACACGAAGGGTGCCCCTGCAGCAGCACTATAGTTCAAATGAAGAGTAAATCTCCTGATCATCTGGACTTATACTGAGCTTTGGTTTATAACCTGACAGAGTTTCATAAAGCAAGCTGGATTCCTTTTGAATAAAACCAGACCAGGAGATGTGTTCCAGGGGTTCACTTAATGCACCCACTAATGAATATTCAATCCACAGCTCCAGAGAAGAACCAGTCTGAAGTGAAACCTCCTGCAATACATACAGTACAGACATTGGGCATCACTTTTATTGGGGCACACCGCTAACATTATTAGTCTGGTCTCCCGTTGTACTGCAGACACTGGTCTGGTCTCCCGTTGTATTGCAGACCATTACATTTCACCCACATCCTTCTTACACTGAACCTTGAGTCTTCAATGAAACTAAACCATTTTAGCCTGTAAGGCTAAAATACACACCACAAAAACCAGAAGGGTCTGATTGCCCAATGTGCTTGCTGGAGCTGTGAACCCAGGTAAGATAAGGTAAAGTAACCTCAAGGATCCAGTGGGAAGTTCGTGTACCGTGCTTCTAAAGGATCCTTTGTCCGTGCCTGACATACAATTCCTGTGCATCAGCAGAGATCTTAAACTGTGCTAATTTCATCTAGGATGGGTGCTAGCATGTGTTCTCCAAAACAGCCCTTCATTGTTGCAGAACTTGAGCACAGTGGATACCAGATTAACAGGCTTTGACTCTATGCAATGGAATAAAAGTAGGGAACAGGTTGCACAGTCATTGATTCTTTTTGCCTTCCAGTAGCATAACTATGATGAAGGACCTTATTGTTCAAATATTTATTTCAGAAGAAAGACGTAGGGAGACGGTGTTCATAGAGGTGGTTTTTCTATCCAAGCCCAGACATGACTGCTGGTTGCTATTTCCCTTCAAAGTAACTTTTTTAGATGGTGGAGCAATTTAACATTTACCCTGCAATCAAGCACTTTAAGACCTTTTCCTTTTCAGGGTGTAGAAGTCCAAGCACAAGACCCCCTCAGTTGCTCCTAGCATCAAGGATCCCTTTGGTAATCAAACCTCTGCTGACAGAAACAGTTGTTCATTGCCTTTAAAACAAAGGCTGGTACAAACACTGATCCCTCAGATCACACCAGGGCCCACCTACCCAAGCATCATCTTTCACTTGATTTTCCTCCTGTGACTTTTTTTTTTTTTTTTCCTAGTGTCTTGTTGCTTATTTTATTTTCTCCTGGACTGAAGGTAGAAGATTTGGTCTCAGAGCCTCCTCAGAGTCAGCATGACCAGCGTGGAGATCCAAGTCTTTCCTGACACCACGACCAGCTGCTTCTGCTAGCCACTGTATTTTGTGCCCTCTCAGACATCAGGAAGCCACCACCCGTCAGAGCCAAGGGCATGAACCTCCATGATGTGACCTTCTGGTCCCTGGGACAGTATCACCAACAGGTTAGGTACAACCAGGAACGCTGTTGCTGCCATCAGGTCCACCACTACGAAAGTATCCTTATACCGCTGATATTCCACCCGGCGTTTTAATCCAGGGGTAGTGAGGTCCCCATCTTGCAGTGGTTGCAGGTATTGGGAAGCGCATTTACAGCAGCGCTGTGTGTGTGCAACGAAGGGGAGGGCTGAGGGCTTGACTGTGCCTCAGAAGCTCGCGTTAAAGGACAACCGCTCTCCACGCCGCGGCAGCGGTAGGGACAGCGTACCGTCACCCTGGAGCGGCAGGACGGCACTCGGCGTACGGCCAGGACCCCCCCCGGAGCCCTGCGGCCTCCCCCGGGCGGCCGCG